AAATCAGACTTCATTTTATTGATGGAACTGGGGAAACAGAAATTTCATACAATCAAAACTAGGATGCCTTAACCTAGAATGCCATATTAGGTGGTCTTTTTGAGACAAGACAGAAAAAACAGAACTAGAATCAGATTTGGAGCCTTCACTTAAGGAGTTTCCTTCGAGATAATACAACCTAGTACACTCATTAGCATTGCCAATAATCTTCCCCAAAGCCATGTCCTGAAGATTATTGCTAAATTTGTCAAAAATAACAAGGCACTGTAACTGATGGGCAATACACTTTATGGACAGCAAGTTGCACTGTATTTCAGGCACATATAGGACATTTTTTAGTGTGATATTTGGAGAAATAATAACAGTGCCGGTTCCCATAACTTTGGCATAGGTATTATTGGCAACTTGAACTTGAGGATGTTCATGAAGAATTGCTGAGCAAAAAACTGAATTACACTGTACAGTGGGAGGACGCATACATATACACATACAGACCATGATGTCAGCCGAGATATATGGCCAAGAAATAAGGGATAGGGAGAATAAAATAAAAGATTTCCTAATATATCTGATCCTATAATAACTATCAGATATTTACATTAAATATAGTATATTTCCACACTCCCCCTCAAGTTGGACCATAGATGTTAATCATGTCTAACTTGCAGATGAAATAATCAAACTTATCTCTACTCAAGCCTTTTGTGAGAACATCAGCTGTTTGCTCCCTTGTTGGTATGTGTCTCATCTGGATGATGCCAGTATCAATCTTCTCTCTGATAAAGTGTTTATCTATCTCAACATGCTTGGTCCTGTCATGTTGGACTGGGTTGTGTGAGATGCTGATTGCTGCCATACTGTCTGAATACAGAGTGATAGGTAGGTTAACATCCTTTTTTAATTCCTCAATCACCCTTTTAATCCATATACCTTCACAGATTCCCAAAGCAATAGCTCGAAATTCTGCCTCTGCACTACTACGGGCTACTACACTTTGTTTCTTGCTTCTCCAAGTAACTAAGTTTCCCCAAACAAAGGTGCAGTATCTAGATGTAGATTTTTTATCCTCTTGATCACCTGCCCAATCTGCATCCGTGTAGAGTTCCATACCGCGCTTCTCAGATTTCTTAAACCATAAACCCTTTCCAGGAGTACCTTTCAAATACCTGAGAATCCTGTAGACCTCATTCAAGTGTTTCTGCTTGGGGTCATGTGAATGTTGACTCACCATGCTAACTGCAAAGGCGATGTCTGGCCTAGTATGTGACAAATAGATTAATTTCCCCACCATACGCTGATACCTGCCTATATCAACAGGCTTGCCAAGATTTTCTTCATTGCTTATCTTGTCAACTCGGATGGGTGTATCACTAGGTCTACACCCAAGCATGCCAGTCTCATTTAAGAGATCTAGCACATATTTTCTCTGAGAAATAGATATTCCCTTCGTGGATCTTGCTACCTCCATGCCCAGAAAATACTTCATTTCTCCAAGATCTTTTTTCTGAAACTCTTGAGCTAACGCCCTTTTAAGATTTTCAATCTCCTCAGCATCATCGCCTGTAAGAACCATATCATCCATATAAACCAACAAAACAGTAATTTTAGTGCCTCGGTGTTTGTAGAACATCGTGTGATCGCTTTGACCTTGTTTGAACCTTGCCATTTTTAGTACCCGTGTGAGTTTCTCAAACCACGCTCTCGGAGACTGCTTTAGTCCATATAAGGACTTCTTTAATTTGCACACTTGATTCGGTTTATTTCTTGGGAATCCTGGTGGCAACTTCATATATACTTCCTCTTTCAACTCACCGTTTAGGAAGGCGTTTTTTACATCTAATTGATGTAATGGCCAATCAAGGTTGGCTGCTAGTGATAGAATTATTCTAACAGTATTGAGTTTGGCTACCGGTGCAAATGTCTCCGTGTAGTCTATACCGTACACTTGGGAGAACCCTTGAGCGACAAGTCTCCCTTTGTGTTTAGTTAGAGTCCCATCAGCATTATATTTAGGTGTGAAGACCCACTTACATCCAACTGCTTTCTTTCCTGGAGGTAATTCTACCACCTCCCAAGTATTGTTGTTTATCAATGCCTCCATTTCTTCCATTACAGCTTGTCTCCATTCAGGTACGGCCATAGCCTCTTCAATGCTCTTTGGTACTGTAACACTGTTCAAATGGGCAGTAAATCCAGAAAATTTAGCAGACAATGCTTGATAAGACACAAACCTCTCGATCGGATGCCTAGTACAGGCTCTCGGCTTCTTCCTCATAGCTATCGATAGGTCAATATCATCCTTATCTCCTGATTCTTCCAGACTTCCTCCATTATCTTCTTTTGGACCTACATTTGGTTCTGACTCTTGGTCAGTGCTTGAGATATGGGTCTGTTTACCTGTCTTGCTTTTCCGTGTATAGGTCTGTGCAAATCTGGTGTCTCCCCCTGTTGTGGACGTCTCCTTCGGACTAGGATTTGGTATATCACTTCTAATATTGGTGTTCTCAATTCCTAGGTCCAAATCAGGATCAGTGGGTTCAAGAGACAAATGATGAGGTACAGCTATAAGATTGGGTGTTTCAGGTATTTCACTCATGTTTTCACCCATGCCAATCTGCAATTCATTCCAATTCTCCCCCTGGATTGGGGATTGGGAGTAGAAGGATTCTGTTTCGTGAATGGTGACATCACAGGTGGTGAAGATACGTTTGGTGGTGGGATCAAAGCACTTGTACCCTTTTTTAGTGGCAGAGTAACCAAGAAAAACACATCGGACAACTTTGGGGTCAAGTTTTTTTGTGTGATGAAGATGAACATAGGAAGTACATCCAAATACCCGTAAGGGTAAAGTATTTTCTAGGTAGGGTAGATTGTAAGTTTGGTGTAGAACTTCAATGGGAGTTTTATATGACAAGGTGCGATTGTAAAGGCGATTAATAAGGAAGGTTGCAGTTAGGACAGCATCATCCCAATGATATTTAGGAACATGGCTACTAAAGAGAAGTGCACGAGCTGTTTCAAGAATGTGCCTATTTTTCCTTTCAGCAATACCATTTTGCTGAGGACTGTAAGGACAGGTACTTTTGTGAACAATTCCATTGGAAAGTAAAAAAGTGGAGAGATGTTTGTTGAAGTATTCTGTGCCATTATCAGTGTGAAGGGTTTGAATAGACGTGTGAAACTGATTTTTTACCATATGATAGAAATCAATGAACACCTGAGAAACATCAGATTTGTCTTTTAGAAGGAACACCCAAGTAACTCGAGAATGGTCATCAATAAAGGTGATGAACCACTTTGAGTGAGTCCTATTAGGGACCCGAGAGGGCCCCCATAGATCACTGTGAATGATTGTAAAAGGCTTTGATGCAACGTATGGCTGATTAGGAAAGGAAACACGATGATGTTTTGCTTTTTCACAAGAGTCACAATAGAGTTGAGAATAATCTCTTTTATTGCAAATTAAAGGAAACATTTTTGACATATAATTGAAATTAGGATGACCAAGACGTTTGTGCCACAACTCCAACTCACTAGTCTTAGGGAGAGACACTTTATTGCATGACCTAACAGTACTGACTTTATTTCCATCTAGGTAGTAAAGACCATCAAATTCCTTAGCACTGCCAATCGTCATCCCCGTCAGTAGATCCTGGAAAAGACAATAAGTAGCAAAGAAATCAACATGACATTTCTCATTTTTTGCCAATTTACTTACTGAGAGTAAGCTGCATTTTAAATTAGGCACATGTAGAACGTGATGTAAGGTTAAAGTAGACGAGAGTTGTATACTCCCTATACCAGAGATGACTGACTCCGATGCATCGGCAATCTTGACTGTAAAGTTCTTTTGGCAAGGTACATAGGTCGTAAATAATTTAATAGTATCCGTCATATGATCCGACGCGCCTGAGTCTACTATCCAACAATCTCCAATGCATACTCGTTTAATAGTAGCCAAGGCTTTAGAAAAATTACCTCTTTGTACCACAGTAGCAATAGGTTGCTTATTAGTTTGCAGGGCTGACAGCATTTCAATGATCTTACTTAGTTGATCATTTGAGGGCTGTGAATTATCATCTCCCGTAGAGCTTTCAGCAACATATCCACGACTTTTTCCCTTTCTTGGCTTCCAGTCGGGTGGCTTACCGTGGAGGTCCCAGCATTTATCCTTTGTGTGGCCCACTTTCTTACAATGTTCACACGTGGGACGTCCTTTAGTGCTTCTAGGATCATTAGACTTGGCAGCAAGAGCAGATGATTCAAAAGTACCGGTTTGAGAAATGGGTTCATCTTTCAACATTACCTTCCTTCGAGAGTACTCCCTCCGGATCATTGCAAAGGCTTCACGGACAGATGGCAAAGGTTCCAAACTCAAAATTCTGCCACGAACATCATCCAAGTCTGAATTAAGTCCGACTAGCAACTCATACAGTCGTTCTTTCTCCAGCCGTTTTCTAAACCGAGCAGCATCCTCAAAACTGGTCCATTCTTCAGCAGTAATCAGATTAAGTTCTTGCCATAGAGCAGTTTTTTCCAAGTAATATTCACTTGGGTCACGATTACCTTGCTTTACGAGCCATAGCTTGGATTTAATTTCAAACACTTGAGAAGCATTCTCCCCATCTGAGTATGCCTCCTTCACAGCGTCCCATATCTCACGAGCTGTTGGGAGAAATAAAAAACTCTTCTTCACAGCCGGTGCCATTGAATTAACCAGCCATGAGCATACCATTGAGTTTTCGGTCTTCCAGAGCCTGAGAGCCTTGACATTTGTTGCCTCTGGACACTGGGTTTCACCAGAAACGTACCCCCATTTGCCACGACCTTCTACCGTGAGCCACACCATCTGGACCCATTCTCGGTAGTTGACGCTGGTGAGTTTTTCTGAGACGAGAGAGACGAGCGAGCTCTCTTGGCCAGTCATGAGGTGTGCAACTTGACGTGAGCTCGCACCGGACGAACTCTCCAAGCCAGTCGACTCTGTATTTCGGTGAGTCTCAGGCTGAAAGCTCGAGTCCATGTTCGTCTCTGATGATTCAGTTGCTCGTTCTTCTTCGAGCTCTGATACCATGAAGAATTACTGAGCAAAAAACTGAATTACACTGTGTAGTGGGAGGACGCATACATATACACATACAGACCATGATGTCAGAAGAGATATATGGCCAAGAAATAAGGGATAGGGAGAATAAAATAAAAGATTTCCTAATATGTCTGATCCTATAATAACTATCAGATATTTACATTAAATATAGTATATTTCCACAGTTCATAAAAAGAATTTAATTCAGAGAATAATTCCATAATACTAGTAATACGATGTGTGTTGTTAGAATCAACCACCCAAATATTTTTTGACCCTAGCACCGTGCTTAGTGTAGTAGTGAGAGCAGTACTTGCTTGGGCTAAAGTAATAGAGGGAGTGGATTTCTCACTGGATTTTTCACGAGACTATTTGCAAGGATTCTCTGCAACACAGAAAGTTCTTCACTGTTTAGTGTTGCTTTCACCATTTGAATTACTCACTATCATACCCTTGTTGTCCCCTTTTGATTTTTGCTTCAAGTGGGCAAGTTTGCCATGAATTTTCTCGCAAGTTTCTTGGGTGTGGCCATTTTTGTTGTAGCGGTCACACTTTAAGAATTTTTTTGCTGCTTTCGGATCTCTATTCTGATTGTTGTGACCAACATAGCAGAGGTGTCAACATTTGGCGTGGGAGGAATAGTCAAGGGACTCCGCAATAGTTCTTTACAGCTCTCCTCATATTTGATCATGTTGAAGGCATTTTCCAATGATGGGAGAGGTTTCGTACCCATGATTCTTCCTTGAACATCTTCAAAGATATCTTCCAGCCTTAGAAGAAAATCATAAAATCGTTTGTGATCAAGGACTTTGCAAAGATAAGTTTCATCAACATAACACGACCACTAGTGCACCTCCTATAAATCAATTTGTTGCTAGAAAATCACAAGAGCATTAAAGAATTGAGTAACAAACTTCTCCCCCTGCATAAGGCTACATAACATCCTTTTAACCTGAAAAATGACTGCAATATTCTCTTTTACAGAGTATGTCTGCCTCATAGATTCCTAAATTCCCAAGCAGAATTAGCAAGAAGATTATTTTCACTAATTTCAGGGGTCATTGAGTGAACTAACCAGGTCATAACAATGTTGTTCGTGGCGCACCATACATGATATTGTGGATCCTTAGTTGTTGGTGGCATGGGACTCCATGTGAGGTACTTTTCTTTATTTCTTCCATGAACAAACATGAGTACATTCCTAGACCATTAAAGGTAATTATTCCCATTAAGACAATGGGATATGATGGCTTGAGAGAGTGCATCATGTGCTGAACTAACTCGTGTTGGCAGCATCAAGGTGTTGGCACCACTCCCTCTAGTACTGGTCTCTCCTGTTGAGTCTCCGCTGGTCTTTGATGATGTCTTGGGGTCTTTGCCATAGGTGGCAAAGACGCTTGGAGAGTTGGTTAGCATTGCTTTATACAACATAAGCGAGAGCGCTCTGATACCATGAGAAATTGCAATGCAGATTTGCATATCTTATTCCTCTGAATAATACGATACATATAGTGCTGAGGGGAGAATATAATCACTTGAAATCCTCTCCCAATAATTGACATATTCAAAAATGAAATTAAAGGAAATATTTTGTAATCTATTAATTGCAGAATATTACAATATAGTAATAATGGGCCTCATAAACCTAAGCCCACTTCCAACACTTTCTAACTATTGCTCATATACTTCTAATTTTTTTCAAGTTACAAAGTGCACTAATTTCGTGTTTTGGTTAACTCATGTCAAGTGTCATTCAATTTGGGATTATGCAATTAAACAAAAGTTAGTTGAAGAAAGGGCAACATATTTTGTAGTATTTCATTGTAGTTTTTTTATATAATAGGAGCCAGAAAAAGAAAGAAGTCAACAATCTGGAGCAATGATTTAAAAATTGGACCGAACTAAACAGTTGAATTGTCGACCGGAGCCATTAATGGCTCGATTTGGAGCAAAAAATCATTTTCATGTTGAGTTGGATTGAATCGGAGTTGAGCTGTTATGAGTTGGACGTTAGAGTTGAATTGGGAACCGGAGTGGTTTTCAAAAAATTAGACGATTTTAAATATAATATAAAAAAGCTTAAAAAATAAAAAAAACTAGAAAAATTAGATTCTACTAAAAGCTAACTTTATTTTTGGACAATTCACATGTGTAAAATATGATTTGAGACCATTTTTTTTTTATAAAGATGTTGACAATTATAGATGTAATTCTGAGAATCAAGTATTTCTGAGAATCAATTTGGTTTTATGCCAGGTAGATCAACTACAGAGGCGATTTATCTACTAAGGGGATTAATGGAAAAGTATCGTTGTAAAGATAAAGATCTACACATGGTTTTTATTGATTCGAAAAAAGCTTATGACCGTATACCAAGAGAAGTGCTTTGGAAAGCGTTGGAAAAAAAGGGAGTACGGATTGCTTATATTAAAGCCATACAAGATATGTATGAGGGGGTAAAAACTAGTATAAGAACGCCTAGTGGTCAAACAAAGGATTTTCCTATAAAGATTGGACTACATCAGGGATCATCTCTGAGTCCTTATTTGTTCAACTTGATTTTAAATGTTTTGACGGAACATATTCAAGAGGAAATTCCGAAATGTATGCTCTTCGCGGATGATATAGTTCTTATAGCAGAGACAAGAGAAGAGGTTAATTACAAACTTGAGTTATGGAGGAGGACATTGGAGTCGAAAGGTTTTCGTCTGAGTAGAAGTAAGACGGAATATTTATATTGTAAATTTGGTAAAGAACTATTTGAAAATAATTTGGAAGTGAAATTGGGAGATCAAATTATACCTCAAGTGGAAAAGTTTAGATATTTGGGAGCCATTATTCAAAATGATGGCGAAATCAGTGGAGATATTTCACATAGAATTCAAGCTGGGTGGTTTAATTGGAGAAAAGCTAAAGGAGTTATTTGTGACCGTAAGGTGCCTAATAAACTTAAAGGAAAGTTTTATCGTACTGCTATCAGACCGGCAATGTTATATAGTAGTGAATGCTGGGCTCTAACGGGACAGCAAGAGCATAAAGTTGGAGTAGCAGAGATGAGAATGTTACGATGGATGTGCGGACATACACGTAAAGATAAAATTCGAAATGAGCACATACGTGAAAAAGTGAGGGTGGCACCTATTGAGGAAAAAATGGTAGAAAATCGGTTGAGATGGTTTGGGCATGTACAAAGAAGACCAAGGGAGGCACCGGTGAGAAGAGTGGAACATATAACTTTGAGTCCGATTAAGAGAGGTAGAGGAAGGCCTAAGAGAACACTCTTGGAAGTTGTTGAACGTGATCTCTTAATTAATAATATTTCTAAAAGCTTAATAAATGATAAAGCACAATGGCGTCTTGCAATCCATGTAGCCGACCCCACCTAGTGGGAGAAAGGCTTGTTGTTGTTGTTGTTGTTGTTGTTGTTGACAATTATAGATGTAAAAACATACTTTTAAGTCTACTCATATCTAATTAAACTAAGATCCATTTATATTTGACAAGTTATAAAATTATAATTTATGATGTTATTAATTTACAGTTATGTTATGTCATTTTTGTGGAAATATACTATAGTTAATGTAAATATCTAATAGTTATTCTCTTAGTTATTATATGATTATAGGATCAGATATATTACGGAAGTTTTTTATTTTATTCTCACTATAAATCCCTTATTTCTCAGCTGGCATCGTGGCATCTCCTTTGTATATATGTAATCGACACACCCACTGAATGAATTAGATTCAGTTTTGCTCAGTTTATCTTCATGGTATCAGAGCACGAAGAAGAAAGAGCAACTGAATCATCAGAGACGACATGGAGTTGAACTCTCAGCCTGAAACTCACTGAAACGTAGAGTTGACTGGCTTGGAGGGTTCGTCCAGTGCGAGCTCGCATCAAGTTGCACACTTCGTGACTGGCCAAGAGAGCTTGCTCATCTCTCTCATCTCAGAGAAGCTCACTGGCATTAAGTACCGAGAGTGGGCTTAGACAGTGCGACTCGCAGTAGAGGGTCGTGGTAAATGGGGGTACATTTCTAGTGAAACCTAATGTCCAGAGGCAATGAGTGTCAAGGCTTTCAGAGGTTGAAAGAGTGAAAATTCAATGGTGTGTTCTTGGCTGGTCAACTCGATGATGTCGGTTGTAAAGAAGAGTTTTTTAGTTCTCCCAATCGCTCGAGAGATATGGGATGCTGTGAAGGAGGCCTACTCAGATGGTGAGAATGCTTCTCAAGTGTTTGAGATTAAATCCAAACTGTGGCTCGTGAAGTAAGGAAATCGTAACCCTAGTGAATATTACCTTGAAAAAACTGCTTTATGGCAAGAACTTGATCTGATTATTGTTGAGGACTAGACCAGTTTTGAGGATGCTGTTCGGTTCTGAAAACAACTTGAGAAAGAACGCCTTTATGAGTTGCTAGTTGGACTTAATTCAGACCTGGATGATGTTCGTGGCAGAATTTTGAGTCTGGAACCTTTGCCATCTGTCCGTGAAGCTTTTGTAATGATCCGAAGGGAGTACTCACGAAGAAAGGTAATGTTAAAAGATGACTCCATTCCTTAAATTGGTACTTTTGAATCATTTGCTCTTGCTACCAAGTCCAATGATCCTAGAAACAATAAAGGACGTCCCACGTGTAAACACTGTGAGAAAGTGGGCCATACAAAGGACAAATGCTGGGATCTCCATGGTAAACCACTCGACTGGAAGCCAAGAAAGGGAAGAAGCCGTGGATATGTTGCTGAAAGCTCTATGGGAGATGATAATTCACAGCCCTCAAATAATCAACTAAGTAAGATTCTTGAGATGCTGTTAGCCCTACAAACTAATAGTAAGCAGCTTGTTGCTACTGTGGTACAAAGAGGTAATTTTTCTAAAGCCTTAGCTACTATTAAACGAGTATGCACTGGAGATTGTTGGATAGTAGACTCAAGCGCTTTGGATCATATCACTGATAATATTAAACTATTTACGACCTATGTACCTTGCCAAAAGAACTTTACAGTCAAGATTGCAAATGCATCAGAGTCGGTTATTTCTGGTATAGGAAGTGTACAACTTTTGTCTACTTTAACCTTACATCATGTTCTTCATGTTCCTAATTTAAAGTGTAATTTACTCTCAGTGAATAAATTGGCAAACAATGAGAAGTGTCATGTTGATTTATTTACTTCTTATTGTCTTTTCCAAGATCTACTGACGGGGATGATGATTGGCAGTGCTAAAAAGGTTGATGGTCTTTACTACCTGGATGAAAATGAAGTCAGTAATATTAGGTCATGCAATAAAGTGTCTCTCCCTAGGACTAGTGAGTTGGAGTTGTGGCACAAACGTCTTGGTCACCCTAATTTTAATTATATGTCAAAAATGTTTTCCTCAATTTGCAATAAAAGTGATTGTTCTCAGTTCTATTGTAATTCTTGTGAAAAAGCAAAACATCATCGTGCCTCTTTTCTTAGTCCGTCATACGTTGCATCAAAACCTTTTACAATCATTCATAGTGATCTATGGGGGCCCCTCTCAGGTTCCTAACAGGACTCACTCAGTGGTTTATCACTTTTATTGACGACCATTCTCGTGTTACCTGGGTGTTCCTTCTAAAGGACAAATTTGATGTTTCACAGGTGTTCATTGATTTCTATCATATGATCAAAACTCAATTTTCACACGTCTATTCAGACACTCCACACTAACAATGGCACAGAATATTTCAACTAACATCTCTCCACTTTTTTACTTTTCAATGGAATTGTTCACAAAAGCACTTGTCCATACAGTCCTCAGCAGAATGGTATTGCTGAAAGGAAAAACAGGCACATCCTTGAAACAGCCCGTGCACTTCTATTTGGTAGCCATGTTCCTAAATATCACTGGGATGATGCTGTGTTCACTACAACTTTCCTTATTAATCACCTTCCCAATCGCACCTTGTCATGTAAAACTCCTATTGAAGTTTTACACCAAACTTACAATCTACCCTACCTGGATACCAAACGTATCTTTACCACTTGTGATGTCGCCTGTCACAAAACAGAATCCTTCTACTCACAATCTCCAATCCAGGGGGAGAATTGGAATGAATTGCAGATTGACATGTGCGAGAACACGAGTGAAACACCTAACCCTATAGCTATACCTCATCATTTGTCCCTTGAACTCACTGATCTTGATTTGGACCTAGGAATTGAAAACACCAATACCACTACTCAAAGTGACGTGCCAAATCCTAGTCCCAACGAGACGTCCACGATGGGGGGAGACACCAGATTTGCATAGACCTTTACACGGAAAAACAGGACAGGTAAACAGACCCATATCTCAAGCACTGATCAAGAGTCAGAACCAAATGTAGGTCCAAAAGAAGTTAATGGAGGAAGTCTGGAAGAATCAGGTGGTGATGATATTGACCTACCTATAGCTATGAGGAAGAAGCCGAGAGCCTGCATTAGGCATCCTATCGAGAGGTTTGTGTCTTATCAAGCATTGTCTGCTAAATTTTTTGGATTTACTACCCATTTGGATAGTGTTATAGTACCAAAGAATATAGAAGAGGCCATCGTCATACTTGAATGGAGACAAGCTATAATGGAGGAAATGGAGGCATTGACAAACAACGATACTTGGGACATGGTAGAATTACCTCCGGGAAATAAAGCAATTGGATGTAAGTGGGTCTTTACACCTAAATACAATGCTGATAGTATTCTAAACAAACACAAAGGAAGACTTGTTGCTCAAGGGTTCTCCCAAGTGTATGGTATAGACTACACGGAGACATTCGCACTTGTAGCCAAACTCAACACTGTTAAAATAATTCTATCGCTAGCCGCCAACCTTGATTGGCCATTACATTAATTAGATGTAAAAACCGCCTTCCTAAATGGTGAGTTGAAAGATTAAGTGTATATGAAGTTGCCGCCAGGGTTCCTAGGAAATAAACCAAATCAAGTTTGCAAATTAAAGAAGTCCTTGTATGGACTAAAGCAATCTCCAAGATTGTGGTATGAGAGACTCACACAGGTACTAAAAAGGGCAAGGTTCAAACAAGGTCAAAGCGATCACACAATGTTTTTTAAACACTGAGACACTAAAATTACTGCTTTGTTGGTTTATGTGGATGATATGGTCCTTATAGGCGATGATATTGAGGAGATTGAGAACCTTAAAAAGGCACTAGCTCAAGAATTTCAGATAAAAGATCTTGGAAAAATGAAGTATTTCCTAGGTATGAAGGTGGCAAGATCTAAGAAGGGAATATCTATCTCTCAAAGAAAATATGTGCTAGATCTCTTAAACGAAACTGGCATGCTTGGATGTAGACCCAGTGATACACCCATCCGAGTTGACAAGATAAGCAATGAAGAGGATCTTGGCAAGTCTGTTGATCCGGGCAGGTATCAGCATACGGTGGGAAAGTTGGTTTTATTTGTCACATACTAGGCCAGATATTGCCTTTGCTGTTAGCATGGTGAGTCAATATTCACATGACCCCAAGCAGAAACACTTGAATGAGGTCTACAGGATTCTCAGATATTTGAAAGGTACTCCTCGAAAGGGTTTATGGTTTAAGAAATCTGAAAAGAGAGGTGTAGAAATCTTCACAGTTGCAGATTGGGCAGGTGATCAAGAGGATAGAAAATCTACATTTGGATACTGCACTTTCGTTTGGGGAAACTTGGTTACTTGGAGAAGCAAGAGGCAAAGTGTAATGGCTCGTAGTAGTGCAGAGGTAGAATTTCGAGTCATCGCTTTAGGAATTTGTGAAGGTATATGGCTAGAAAGGGTGATTGAGGAACTAAAAAAGAATGTTAACTTGCCTATCACTCTGTACTTAGACAGTATGGCAGTAATCAACGTCTCACACAACCTAGTCCAACATGATAGGACCAAGCATGTTAAGATAGATAGACATTTTATTAGAGAGAAGATTGATACTGGCATCATCCAGATGAGACACATATCATCAAGGGAGCAAATAGCTGATGTTCTCACTAAAGGCTTAAGTAGAGATAAGTTTGATTATTTTATTAGCAAGTTGGACATGATTAACATCTATGGCCCAACTTGAGGGGGAGTATGGAAATATACTATAGTTAATTTAAATATCTGATAGTTATTGATAGTTATTCTCTTAGTTATTATTCGATTACAGGATCAGATATATTAGGGAAGTTTTTTAATTTATTCTCACTGTAAATCCCTTATTTCTCGGCTGGCATCGTGGCATCTCCTCTATATATATGTAATCGACACACCCACCGAATGAATTAGATTCAGTTTTGCTCAGTTTATCTTCAATTTTATGCATTTAATATATTTTTCTTTAATTATTATGTTGCTGGTTCAACCATTGGTCTAAGCTTGTTGAATTATGCGAACTATGAACCATTGGTTTTTTCAGTTTAATATATGGTCTAGTTCCGAAAACATTGGTCGGGAGTGCTGTGACCAAAACACATATCAAGGTGTAGCGGATTCCTGCTATGTTCTGGATCAATTTAGTTGTTTTTTATGGCAGGACCTATCCTTAACCGATTATATCAATATTTTCTTGTGTCAGCAGGTTTTGGTTAAGTGAATGTCTGTCAGAAAAGAAATGACAATTAAGGCAATAAATAAGGCTTAATTTGAAGACCTAATTATAAGACATGAAAACCATTGCTGTGCTTCATCTTGTAAGGGGTAAATTACTAAAACTTTTTTGCAATTCGCATGCTTATGTTTAGTCATTTAAGTAACCCTTATTCTATGCAGTCTGATGCCTCTATTATCTACGATATACTGTATGCTGCACCGATACTGATAATCGATTTGTTTCATTAGCTTGAAGCCAGAAAAAGTCAGCAAATTAAACGTTCTTGATCATTGTTTAATTAGCTAGCTCAAATTTGAATGCATGACAGTATTGAATTCTTGTGTCTTTACATTACCGTAACCAAATTACTAAGTCATATTTCGTTTCCTTACTAAGCTTGCTTCTGCCAGTTGGATAAAACTTTTTTTCTTATTTTCGTGAGTTTCTTTTCTTTTCAGGACTGCGACAAAGATCATCTCAAATTCCCCAATTTTAATTTCAATGTATCTCATCATGGTGACTATGTGGGCATAGCTTCTGAACCTGTATGTCTTGTGGGGCTAGATATTGTATCCTATGATGTTCCTCAGAAAGAAACAATTGCAGAATTCATTCTTAACTTCTCATCATACTTTTCAAGTTTGGAATGGGATAACATAGTGAATGCTGGAACTTCTGATGATGTATTAATTGAATTTTATAGGTATGATTATACTTATTTTATTTTCCAATTCTTATCTGCATTAAAATGGCTGTTGAAACACATAAATTTTCTGTGTAAAGTTTTTACTCAGTTACATTTTATTAGCTATATTTAGACAAATAATCCAGTCTTATTTTTTTATTTCTCACAAAAAAAAAAAGCACACTTCAACAAGGCTCTGTAGGTGGCATCATTTGAACACTTAAATGTGCTTGCCTGGTTTTACCCCCATGGAACTGTTATCTCATGCCCTCATACAAAGACATCCAATAGCTACTTAGCTATGAATTTATGGAACCTCTGTAATTTAATTATTATATATATATATATATATATTTCAGTAAATAAGAAGTATCAAATGAACTTAACTCGTGCATGCTTTGCAGGTATTGGAGCCTAAAAGAAGCATATGTTAAAGCCTTAGGGGGTGGACTGACTGATGATTTGAATAAAGTTGAGTTTTGTCACACGAGTTGGACCACTATATCAGCTAAGATGGATGGGAAGGATATGATAGAATGGAGATTTTGGCTCTTTGAGCTTGGAAAGAGACATTGCGTGAGTTCTTCACCCATTTTGAATGAATGTAAAGATTAGTTCATTTACAAAAATATGCCCCGTAAATTACATTTACATTTTGTGTGAGTCATGACTACAATTTTGTCAAAAGGGGGAAAAAAGATCTATGAAATAGCAGACACTAGAGATTGATGTTGACCCATTGAAGTGGGTCCTAATATCCTTTTCAGGCAAAAGAGATTACACTTTCCCCTACTAGTGAAACCTTATTTTTGGCCTTGACATGTAAGGTGTACTTTTAATGGCGTCATTTCTTTCAATTTAGCTTTAGCCATATGAAACGTTTTCCATGTTTGCCTTTGATATTATTTTCTTCTAAGTAGTAATGCCAAATTTAACATATTGCTGTCTTGAAGTGAGCAATTTCAGGTGTTGGTAAATGGTGTTTGATAGTTGTAAATGTCCTAGTCAACTTTATGTTGGATTTGACATTTTATGTATATAAGAAGGGGGGATATTGAAATTTTAGTGATTGAAGGATTGAATCAAAATAGATTATTTGCAGAGGATGAAGTTTAAACTGTACACATCTGTCAGGGACCTAAATAAGGTATTCCTCATCTTTAATATTTTGCAAAAGCAGGCCATTGTGTCCATGTAGTTAAATCTTATACACCATTTTTGTTTACACTTGAGATGCCAATATCCTTTGTTTGAGGGAGCTGAAGGGCATGTGTTTTTCCATTGGTTGGCTGTAAAACAAGTCTGGCATACTTAGTATCACATTCATAAAACTCCTTTGCAACAAAAGAAATGATGATACAATTCAACTAAAAGAATAACTTAGATTTCATTGCTTCAAATACCAGTTTTCTTATTTGCTGGAATTGAGACTTCTCATGTTACAGGAGGTGCAGAATATATACCATCAAAATGATTTTTTTTTTTTTTTGGGTCGTTGTTGGGGGGGGGGGGGAGCCAAACACGTATTGAAGATGGCTTGGCTTGCTAGTATATGAAGATATGTGCATAATATGTTTTATCTAATATGGAAGAAAATATGTAGATGTATGCATGATATTTTCATCTGATATGGCAGGATTTATTTTCAGCACTCAGATATTACTGAACGATTTGGGCTGCACCTCTAGTTGAGATTCTGATTCTGTTAGCTCCTTTATATTCTATGATTTGTGAATATTTCAATTCCTGATGTTCCTCCTCAGATCTTGCCGCCTTCTTAATTTTATTTCACATTATATGGGAGACTATTTGCCATCTTCTCCTGTTTATGTGATCGCTTCTCACCATGAATAAAACAAGTATTCAGAGAGTGTATACTCTGAATTTTTTCATGGTATCCAAGCCTATACGAGAATCATTGGTATGGCCAAACATATGGCCACACTCTTTCAAAAAGTAAAAAGCCACTCATGAAATTGCTGAACAGATCAGAAAATCCATCTTGTCTTGAGCATCTGGAAGCTCCAATTTTGCTGTCATGAACAAGATGGAAATCATGAGCACTGATATAGGGATGGGCCAAGGGGAAGTTGTAAGGTTGCAAGGTTTGGATTGGATGGGCCAAGTGAAGGTTTGGGCTAGAGATGGAGAAATGGGCCGAGAAAAGTTGGACGAAAGGGTTTTGAAGAATGGTGGCTATTTAAGGATATGTTGTGTCATGGGAAGGGTGTAGAATGTATTGTGTTGTTTCTCCCTGGTCCCACCTTTTGGGAATTTCTCTCCTCTCTGGCATTTCTGTTATTGTGCCTTTGTTATTATTGCGGCCATTATACTGGGTTGGGTTCCTTTACCGATTATATTAATATTTCAATTTGTTCCCCTATTTTTTGTCGTCATCTTTTGATTTTCGGTGTTACAAGACCTTATCAGTGAACATTAATCGTGAATCTCTATGTTGCTGAGTTTCCTTTCATTGGCCTCGAGCCGCGCTGGAGGGAGCACCCTCATCCTCTGCCCATTACCCAGAATCTGTCCAAAACCCAGACCTTGACACCATCTTTCTCGTAGCTTGCCCAGATATGGTGGGCTCAACATCTCCATTGATCTTTGTTGTCTGTCTATTTGACCTTTCTGAGACCATAGAGTAATCTAGTTGAAAACGGTTGAGTTGGATCCTCAATTTTTAAGCCAGAATTTTTTTCTGTCAAAAATATGAAGAGTAGAGAAGCATGGTATGGAAAGTTGGATCAACCTACTTGATTGAATTGGTAAACCGTTAAACCAGTGTCTTAATCGGTTTAATAAAATGTTTTGTTTATGATCGGTTTGATCATAGTTTGATTACGGTTTTGACTATTAACCTTGAACCAGTACTTTGACTAATTTAATGACCTGTCTGTTTTTCAGTATCTTGAGTTGAAGTATTCAGTTTTTCAGAATCATTGGAAAAAAGTACAACAAATAATTCCCTGATAGAAAGGGATTTCTTGTGTGGAAGTTTTCTCAAGTCACAGGTGGTCTCAAGCTCTGTGTATCTTATATTCTGCTTGTTTCTTGTTTTACAGCTATCAATTGCAAGAGGTCCTCCAAGATCAGCTGCGAGGAACTACAAAGCAACATTGAAGGAGGTAGATTTTAGTGAGGAGGAATATCTTCAGGGTCTTGACCTTCCAAGCGTAGACATCGTTGAACAAAGTGTAGATCAACTTGTCTCAACTTTACATAAAGGGATTAATTGTGCTCGTGGAAGTTAAATTTTATTGTAAATATAAGACACAGGATGTTTGTGTGTGATATCCCCATGGAAAGATTTTGTTCTCCCAGCATATGGTCATAAAATTCAGTGCCACGAATGCAGAAACACTCCACCCTCTATCAGTCCTGTTGTTGCTGTTGTTGACGTTGCAAGTTTATCTTAATTATATACATCATTTTTCTATTTTTAAAACCTATACAAAATTTTCTAGAATCAGTTACAAAACACAAACTTTCTTTTTATTTTTGAGATTTTATTTATATTTATTCAATTGTTAGTTGATTGTTAAGTTACATGTTGGACTAAAATTTTTCTCTTTAAACATAGATGTTGTCTAAAAATTATTGTTATCCAAAAAATGCAATGCATTGTTTATATGTTTGTTTTACTTTTTTATTTATATTTTAAATTTTTTAGTTATGTAAATTTATCTATTTAGTAATCTGTTTTGGTAAAAGTTTAAATTCATAAGTTACTAAAATAATATATTAAAGATATGTACCAAAAAATTAATGAAACATGAATCCAATATAATACGATATAAATTAGTCAACGTAATTTATATTTATTTTATAAAATGTAATTAATTTTAACACTATTTTTAAAATATTTATTTAAATATTGTCATCTTTAATTGTTTAAAATTTTTAAAATGGGAGGGAGAGAGTATACTATTAAATTGTAAGGACAAATTAATAATTTTAAAATTTTTAACATGATTATAAATAAAAAAATAAAGTATTTTAAAATCTTTAATTTAATGTTCTGCTAAAAATTGAATAAAAGTATAAGCTCTTTCTAGTTGGAAGAGGAATTTCCAGAATGTAGCAGGGTGTGTTATCCTCACTAAGTCGGTTATTACTACTATGTCAAGCTATTACATGCAAATTATGTTCCTCCTAGTGAAACTTTCTGAAAATGGAAAAATTGCGTAGGAGCTTCATGGAGTGCTAATGATAAAAATGTAGAAGAAGGTTCATTTGATGTCCTAAATGCAATCCTCATTGACAAAAAAGAATGGTGGTTTTGGAATCAAGGATTTGGAGAAACATAATAAGGCTTTTTTATCTTCAAACTTGGTTGAAAATTATTGCGAGATGAGAATGCATTGTGTATCCGAGTCCTAAAGTCCAAAGTATAATAAATGTGTTGTTGGAAGTGTTGTGGAAGTCCAAGCTTCACATGCCTACCGTAGCATATATAAATGTTGGGGGAACTTCGTTGAAGGCATTGGAAGACAAATTGGGAAAGTTCTGAACAAACGATTAGGCATTATGACGTGTACCACTTGCTCACATAGCTCATGATAACTCATATGATGCAAATGAGTGTGTTGAAGATTTCATAACTTTTGAGAGGTGACAGGATGTGAGAAGGATGGAACCATGGCTCCTTAGTCATGTTATCCACAAGATTGCTTGCACTCCTATTTCAGGAGTTGAGAGAGGAGAGGACACTTTCATTTGAAAGCCATCTAATGATGACAATTTTAAGATTCATTTTGCTTATGATTTTCCTATTGCAGGAGAGAAATTTGGAGATAGAAGGGCCTAAAAAAAAAAAGTCTTCCTTTGACTCATTGAAAACAAAAGTTCATGCAGCGAAATTGAGAGCTAGAAGAGGACTATTGACTTCAAAGTTATGCCCTCTTGATT